TTGTATCGGTCTTGGTCATACGTTTATATTCTCTTTTACCTATATCGATCTCTGTTGGTTGATTTATTGGGCTTAAGTTGAAAACAATTATCAACTAGCAATCAGTACCGTTTTATTCAGAAGCATTTGCTTACTTTGCAGCTTTTTTTACTTCTATTGAAGCGCTGCCTTTGTTTTCATGAGGCTTAGTAGTAAGGTCCGTTCTTCTCTGTCTCTCTGCCTTCCTTCCACTCATTCAACGCACCTTCACCTCCCACACAGGCTGAGATCGCGGCCAAGCTGTCGAACCTGCCGGCGCGCTCCACGGATCCTGCCGACAAGCCGCGGCCGCTGATCCTGGACGACAGTGGCCGCACGGTGGACGCCTCGGGAAACGAGGTGCAGATCGCCGCTCGGCTGCCCACGCTGAAGGTGAGGGAACTTGGGGCTGCGGTGAATTGGGTGATGTTGAGAGTATGATGGGTGGATTATTTGTGGGATTTGAGTAGTGTTTAGGCTCGAGAAGTGTTCTTTCATGAAATATGATGAAGAGTGCACTTTGATTAGATGTAAGCTAGTGGACGGTGGTGTATTGTACGTTGGTTGGATTTATGTCTTATGGGCGTCATGTTTACATCACGAATCGGTAGAGCTTTCAGGCTACTTGTAGCTATCAATTTGTTCTGTGCGTACTGCCTCTGTGCTATTTTTGTTCATAGTCATCCTGTCAAGGAACGGCTAGAAACGTCTGGGAGTGTTTAAGAACGTCGCCCCATGGCCCATGATGATACGACGTTACCACCCGTCTGACTGCATATTCCACGCGCGTGCCCAGGCGAACATCCGCGCCAAGCGCCGCGCCGAGTTTCGGCAGCAGCTGCAGGAGCGGCCCACAGAGGATGTCAGCGAGGCGGCATTCTTCGACCCGCGCGTCTCGCTGCGCCCCTCCACCCGCGGCCGGAGGGCGTTCAACTTCCACGAGCCGGGCAAGTTCCAGCAAGTGGCGGCCAGGATGCGCACCAAGGCGCAACTGGAGAAACTGCAGGTAAGTGGGGATGGGATGGGTGGATGGGGATGGTTGAAACGAAGCTCGTTTGACTGCGTTCACGGCTCGTTAAATGTAGTAGAGATTATGAACCAATTAGACGTTAGATTGGGATGCTGCTGGGAACGCATCGTGGCTGATTTTAAGGCATTCAGTGGATTTTGATTGTAATAATCAAACAGCTTGGTGGAGATGATAATGAGACTAATGTTATTCGTCTCATTTTGACTGAAATATCGACCCACGCGTCAAATCTTGCGTCCTGTATCGACAGAGCGAGATCTCCCAGATCGCGCGCAAGACGGGCATCTCGTCCGCGATGCGTCTGGCGATGGTGGCCCCCCGTCCGGCCACGTGGCAGCCGTCGGTGGCCGGCGGGCCGCCGCAGATCGAGTGGTGGGACCAGGTGGTCACCCAGACGGACACGTACGAGGCGGCCGAGCAGAAACCCGAGGAGGAGCGCTACGAGGGCATCACCAGTCTGGTGGAGCACCCCGCCCAGATGGCGCCGCCCAGTCAGTACACGGCAGAGGCCGGGCGGCGGTAGGGGATAGCCATACTGCGCGCGGTGATGATGATTATATGCGTTATTGGTGCTTTTTCATACTCTTGTATTCACTTAATATGCCGAAACATTGAGAGAAGTGTTTCTTCTCTTTTCAACTTGCCGTTTTAGCTTTGTCTGTTGATTTGATATTAGCTCAATCTTGCTTTCCGAGTGAACCCCGCCTCCAGATTGCCTTTCTAACAGTTACTTATTCGAATTACGGCAAGCACACCGACCGTGGTACACTAGCTGACCTTCCCACTGACCTGATCACGCCGCCTCCCTACAGCCGACGGTGACAAGAACGTGTTCCTGCCGGTGCTGCTCACCAAGAAGGAGCGCAAGAAGCTGCGGCGCACCAACCGGCGCGAGGCCTGGAAGGACAAACAGGAGAAGATCCGACTCGGCCTGGAGCCGCCTCCCGAGCCGAAGGTACGGAGATGGGGCTGATCGGATTCGGATCTATGTTTTGGTTTGAGATTTAGGATGTGTCATTCGGATGGGGTAGGACGGGTCAAGGGCTGGGGGTTTTGACTGAATAGTTCTGTTCTCGCTGAAGATCAGATTTTGTTCACTGACTTCAGTGCAGCCTGCTGTTCTCAGGTCGTCGATGGCCTAACTTGAAAATGTTAGCTGGTCTGCAGTTGTCAGTTTGACCCTTCGTTGAATATGATTGCGTTATTTTCCAAGAATTACTGTAGATCACAATGCTTACAATTGTAACGTATCCAGCCACGGCCCCCTGCACATGACCCAAGTGACGCCATAAACTGACCGTGCCGTTCAACCCCAGGTGCGGATGTCCAACTTGATGCGCGTATTGGGCAACGAGGCCATCCAAGACCCGACCAAGATCGAGGCGCACGTGCGCGCCCAGATGGCCAAACGTCAGAAGGAGCACCAGGATGCCAACGCGGCGAGGAAGCTCACTACCGAGCAGCGCAAGGAGAAGAAGATCAACAAGATCAAGGAGGACACGACCACCGAGGTGCACGTGGCCATATACAGGTGAGCTGAACTGTGGGAGGGAGAGGGTGTCGGTGGGCATCCGCGGCTCATCGGTAGTGACTTGAGCTCCACGAGGCCGAGTTAGAAGACGTGCACCCATGTACGAGATGTATTTTTTTTTTTTTGCCGTATTATTACGTCCTGTTTTGGCTCGATTGATTCTCGTTTTCGAGACTCATTTACTCTGGTAACCAGAGTGTGTGGACGAAAATGTTAAGGTTTCTGCTGCCAGACGTAACACTGTAAGTTTTGCTTCATTTTATTTATTTAGTTAGTTTTGTGTTTTCGCCGTGTTGGCGAGACCTGCCCTTGACGCCGCTGCCGTTTTAACCAAGTCTGCCCCATCTATATTACAGGGTGACGGACTTGTCAAACCAGGCCAAGAAGTTCAAGGTGGAGACGAACGCCAACCAGCTGTTCATGACGGGCGCCGTGGTCCTCTTCAAGGACGTTAACGTGGTGGTGGTCGAGGGCGGGCCCAAGCAGCAGAAAAAGTACAAAAGGTGAGCGGTCGCCGGCTGACACGGTGCTGGGGGTGATCTGTATTGCTGAAGCGGTAAACTGCTCCCATCTCACAAAATGGGTGTAACTCAGGTGTCTCTTTTGGAATATTGTTTACTTTTCTACTGTAAGAAGGACGATAATACGAACTCATGCGCTATCTGTTAACAGCTGTCACACAGTGAAATTTGTACGCTAACATGTCTATTTGTTTATAGGTTGATGCTCCAAAGGATCAAGTGGGAAGAGGACATGGTGAAAGGAAAGGAGGACGAAGAGACTGAAAACAAGTGCACTCTGATCTGGGAGGTAAGTGACTTTGCACCGATCAACGCTGCATAATCTAGTCATTCCCATTCATGTCCGTTTGACGGATAGATCAAATCTGATGAAAAGATAACTCTCGGGTTTTAACTCCAAACCAGTCATTTCTTCTTGCCACGTAACGTCACGTAAATACACGCTCATTCGGAAACTTTCATAATTTTATTTATTTTTGACTCATTAGGCTTGAAATTCATTGTGTCCGTCACAGGGTACCACGAAGCAGCGGAACTTCGGCAAAATCACCTTCAAGCTGTGCCCGAACGAGAGTTTCGCTCGCGAGTACTTCAGGAAGGCCGGAGTGGAGCACTACTGGGACCTGGCGCACAGCTCGTCTGTCCTCGAGCAGGAGACCACGTGATCAGCGCTGTGACACACGCAGCGAGACGGGACAGAGTCACGTGGTCTGACACACTGCCGGCGGTTGATCCGGAACAGGCCACGGAAGCGCTGCCGCTGGCACCAAGGCCAGATCACGTGCTGATGGAATTGATTTTGGAGCAGTGTTACGTGATTAGTGGTTACCCACGCCGCTGATGGAAAGTCACGTGATGGGCTGGACACGTCTCGGGTCAGTTCCGCGCAGCAATGTGTGCTATGTCGGCGAGTACCAGGCGATTCCACAACCCTGCTAGCCGTGGTTCGGTGCGGTACTACTGTGGCTGGCTGACGCGTCGAGCGCTCATCTTTCTCCCCTTTTACACGTCGCGGTCCTCTCTCACGCCTTGGGCCATGGCGACGACACTGGTGCTGCTGTGAAGAGTCGCGTCACTCTGAATCAGTGGAGTCGAGGGGAAACTGTTGTGTCTGGCCGACCGGCTGGCCGTGCGGGCTCTCGTGGTTGGGATGTGCCGCTCTCGCCACTGTGTGGTGTGGAACAGTGGATGAGGAACTGGTTGGATGGCGGCGGGGAGTTGGGAGACCGTCGTATTGCGTGGCGTGACTTGCCAGTGGTGGGACGTTAGGTTCGGCGGCTTTGGAGGTCTATAGAAGCATGAGGTTTTAGGCGGCCCCTTGACCATACGGTGTACGAATCCGGTGACATGACACTACCCATCACCGATAGCGAAAAGCCCGTGTGAGGATCTCCCTTGCCCGCCGAATCGGTTCGGAGTTGTTGAGCTGGTGTGAGTGAAAATATAGCCGAGTATGTCTACCTATGCTTTTTCTGGCATCGACTAGGTATGCACTGCCACTGACACATAGTGGCAGTGTCAGTGGCAGTGCATACCTAGTATGTAATGGTAATGAAGCACCTTTTTCGAGCAAGAGGGAAAGTTGATCCGTGTGTGGTTCTTGCTATAATGTCACGAATGGTGATAAGCAGGAGCGGCGCTGAATGTCACGGGGCGTTGGCGCTCACTGAGAGCAAAGATCGTTAGCGTCGGAGTAGATTCGGGAGGGAGCGTGTTGATATTGACCAAGTGTTAAAATCGATGGTAGAAATTCAGATGTCCAAATCTAGCAGCAGGCGCCAGGCAAACATCCGGCCGAGCCGAATATGCTGCTCTCACAGCCGCTCCGCCGAATTATTCCAGCAGAAGTTTTGACGTCTTTCACCAGTAGATTCGGAAGTTCTCCGGTCGCTGCTGATCTGCGGGGAGCACTAGAGAAGAAAAAGCAAAAGCGACGTCGATGGCGCAACTGAGTCAAAACTTGACTGTTCAAATTATATCGTTCTGCAGATGTGGAGCTCAAGACTTGCTTGTTGCCTAGCAACTAGATTAAGATGAAGTGACTCGTGACGAGTTTCCTAGCAACATCACTCCATACTTTTGTTATCGAACATAATGATTAGACTTCCGATACGGTGCATGTCAATCGCGCTCGCGCTGTGGCCTCTCTCGCTTGAAGTGTTGGGAAGTTTTGGTTTACATTATCCGTGTCACCTGACCCATCGGATTTGCTTTTCGTAGCATAGCCAAATCAGATAGTCAACAATGATTAGCTTATTAGTTCTCTTCTTGGCTCTTGTTGGTCGCTCCTGCTGCCTAAATGGTCGTGGACTCACACCTCTTGATTCAGCATCATTTGACAAGGTATGAAAATAATTATTCATTTACTTAGTGAAATTCTCATTCCCTAATGCCTAAGCTGTCGGTGAGCGCAGCTCACCGACATCTTGTGCGATTCGATTCGACCCGAACGTTTTATTTTCGCCCCGATTACCGACCTTCGCTGAAGAGGACATGTAATACATGTCGAAAGCTCCGACCGAAAACGATTCTCTTGTGGAGTAAGTCCAATTTAATCCTATAATACCCTAATGCCTAATTATTAACAATCAGTTGACAATTTGATCTGTGGTATTTTGCATAGATAGGTGTTATTCCAATCAAAGATAAAATTCTCCATTTTCCTGTGGTGCCGATATGAATTTTCTGACATTGGCTCACTAACATGGATTTAACATACCTATACTGTACAATACTTATTCATGTTTAATGTAATACAACAGTAGAACCTGCTTAATAAGTCCTCAGATTATGAATCCAGCTGCTTGTTGTGTCCACTTGAGCTGTTCACTGACCTCTGTGGAAACATACTGCATTAATAAAGCCTATTGATGGCCTTGGCCTTGATAGGCTTTATTAGATGGCCTTGAATAAAGCCTTAAGCAGATTCTGCTGTACTGTTACACTTAATAATTCATCCATTCATGATTCAGTTAAAGGTGCAATGAGCATTTCAGCTCAAACATCTCAAATTGGGTGCCATAGTTTTTTTTGTGTGCTGGATTTTATAGAAATGTGCAAATGAGAAATTCAAATATGCTATGTAGTTTTGTGGTGGTTGAAATTATTTATAATGCAATACATAAGCATCTATCAGTAGTTTCAAACATGACTAGTGGTGTTCTCAATGAAGATCTGAATGAAATAGCATGGTGATAAATTACAGATAAAATATACCATGTTTACAGATAACTTCAAAATTCAAAGCAACTTTGATGAAGTTTGACACCTACTACCCATATGGCCCTGAGCATGATGAATTTGTCAAGCTAGCATCCAGCAGTGCAGACATTGATGACTTCTTAGTGGCAGAGGTAAGTATTAGTATGAAATGATCAATTGATTTGTATTTAATTTGTTTGTTCATTGGTCATTCTAAATAAAAAGGAAAAAAATGTGTCTGATTAAGCTGTATGTTTTTATGCAAGAGTTCATGATTCAATGATTCTATTGGATACTTATGTGAAATTGTCTAACTGTGACCATGACAATTGCAGGTTGGAGTAAAGGACTATGGTGATCTTGAAAACCAAGATATGCTGCAGAAGTTCAAGATCTCAAAGGAGGATCTACCAGTTGTACAACTCTATTTTCCAGTAAGTCCTCCTTTGAAACTGTCCAGACCAGTTTATTTCATAATTTGCCTTTCTTGTCACTGTTAAACAACATATAGTTATGCTTTGCTGACAGTGTACTCTGATCAGTCATGTAACTATTCTGTGCACTTTGTTAGAAGACTATTGCTCGCTTATTGTTGATAATTTGAACTCCTATAACACTGAGATTCCTCCCCCACAGGACGGTCGGCCGGCCATTCGTTTCACAGGCAGTATCAAGGAGAGCGCGCTGCGCCGGTTCGTCCGGTCGGCGGGTGTGGCGCTGCCGCTGCCGGGCACCCTGCCGGAGCTGGACGAGCTGGCCGCCCGGCTGGTGTCCGCGGTCGGCTCCTCAGAGACCGCCACAGCCCTCCTGGAGGAGGCAGAGACGCTGGTGGACTCGGCGCCGGGGAGGAGGAAGGATGCGGCGCGATACTACGTGCGCGTGATGAAGGAGGTGATGGAAAAGGGGCACCAGTTCGTACAGAAGGAGGAGGACCGACTGAAGGCGCTACTGGAAGGGAAGCTGTCCCAAAAGAAACGGGCCGAGATGGAGGCCAGGCTGAACGCTCTGCAGGCTTTCACGGCGCCTGCAGTGGGTGAGAAAGATGAGTTGTGAGACAATAGTTTGATGTTTCGGAGGATGGACAATTGGTTAACGAGATTGGTGATGAGTTTAGACAGTATTAGACATTGACAAGATGTGTGGTTTCACGCAAATGTGTTTGAACGTATGGACATGGACGTATAACTTATCGACGTTCTAGACATTCATTCTAAGACGTATAGGTATTTTCAGCTAGAAAACAAGACGTTTTAGGTAACCACGAACTATATGCTGCACACCGCGTAGATATAGGTTGTCGCATTAGGGTGACGGGTACTGTATGATTGTGGAGGTACTGAACTGTTATGTATTTATCGACGATGTGACGGCGACGTAATCGAATAATGTGTTATTTCGGTGATACCTGTCCGATGCCAATGCCATGTGATGATAACCGGATCCGTCCAAACTCAAACTGTTATTTCGCATGCATGCTGTATTTTTGTCCTTGGATGTTACTGCCGCACAGTTTGTGATTGTTTCTATTAGTGTGCGGGTTTTTGTTTCACGTTACCATTTGTGGCGTCTGTTTCATTCATTCGGTGTTTGGCGTTGTTTGTTCACTTTTATAAATAAAGGTCAAAATTAAATGGTCGTACACGATGTTCGCTACTGCTATTGCCAAACACTAATTTAGGGGTTGTCAGCAATAGCATGTATTGACTGACGTTAGGGAAGGGGGGGGGGGGGGTACATAATAAGGTCGACAGTTGCCATCACAGTCAGGCTAGCCAGCACACGTTGCCAGGGACACCACTCGCCTCCCTCGCCCGCCGAACGATGCCCACAGCGACCGCCCCGGGTCCACACGACAGCGCCCGTCACCCCCGGTTCGGCAGTGATCTTAGTACGCGATAGTTTGGCTCCGACGCCTGCCAGCGCCGGCCCGTGGAGACCAAAGGCGTTCGGAAGGGCCCCAGCCCCGCTAGCGGATAAGTAGCGTGTTTGTCTCAAGCTAGGCGTCAGTTCACTTCAACAGGCCATACATACGTACACACACAACACTCATTATATGATAGCACTGGCTTTGGTATGAATATGCGAATAAATAGCAAAAACGAATGCTCTCGGTCGGTCATTGAGCAAACCTCTGCGGGTCCTCCGCTGCGGGCGCTCTCGACCGACGCCTCCCATCCTCTGCTGCCGGCACTCCGCGCTCTGCCAACCCAGGTTCACTGATGGCTGGCCCACACATCCCGTGGTGTTCTGACAGACCGCTGGTGAGCCAATGGTTGTCCGTATGGATATCATCGACCTCTTACAGACACCGGCCCGGCTGTGCGGGAGGCGCCGAGCGCTTTATGGCTGTTACAGGTTCTAACCCCACTCATCACTGATCCATCGAGGTTAACTTCGCTCACTCGCAAGGCCTCGTTCTAGCGCAAACTCTTGCCGGTATTGCCGAGCTGATGTCTCATTCGGGTCCAGCGCAATTTCTCGCTTCCCCACCATTCCAGTGGGGACTCAGCAATTCTCGCCACTCCAGCAGGTCGTCTGGCCGCTCCAGCAGATTCTCCAGCCGTTCTAGCAGTTTCTCCAGCCGTTCCAGCAGGTTGTCTGACTGCTCCAGCAGGTTCTTCAGCCGTCCGATCATCCCCACTCACTGTTCGAGCAATGACAGCTCGATGGCTCTGCGCATCTCCTCCTCCTCCTGTCGGCGGCGCAGGTCGGCGGCCGCGTCCTCGCGCCGGGACAGCTCCAGCGCCGCCGCCAGAGCCGGGTCGTCGGGACTGGCCGGGGTGTCCGGGACCGGCCCGCCGCCCCCTCCGCCGCCGCCCTCTCCGTCCGGACACAGGGACAGCTGTATGGCCCTGTGTCGGCAGAGAGCGGGCGTGACCGACGGTCCGGCCAGCGGGGGCCCGGAGAGGGAGCTGCTGCTAGGGTGGGTGATGTGGGGGGGGGGGAGGGGTGGTACAGGGTATGAACGAACGACACGACAGTTGCGATATACAGTATACAAACTGTTAATGCTAAATATTCATCTGATTAATTACGGCAAGATACTAAATAAGTGCAAAGTGTGACTACGTTATATTTACGTTGCAAGAGTGCCTGCTGTGACTGGCTTCTAGTTGCATAGCAGATGACCACTAGAAAGCAAAGTAGCAAAATAATATCAGTCCACAATACAAGCAGCAGGACCACAGATGGACATAGGGAGTTAGCGGGGGCCCTGACTACATTTATAGCCCTTAGACGATATACGTGAATTTTCGTCGATACAAGGAGCTAATGCTTAGCCTACGTGCTTCTTTGCAGTTGAATACGACTAGATGCGTGAGATATCGTCTTTCATACGATTATCTGAATTACGACTGTTAGGAATAGCAAAATATGCTTCAGAGGATACTGAAAACGCCTATACGTCGTGAACTTGAAGAAGCGAAGTCAGCTACATCAATTGCTAGTGCTTATACATCTAGAGGAATTTCGAGAGCTCTGTGTGACTAAAAACGGAACCCGGCTACTCTTCAGCCGGACTTTTGGTCTCGGCGTGTCGCCCGTGAGCCGCCCGGAGTCGCTCAGTCTCGGCGTCGGCGGCGCAGGGACAGGGTGCGGACCAGGCGCGAGACCAGACCATCGTCGCCCTGTCCTGGTCTGTCGGCGGTCTGTCCCTCGGCCGGCCGGCGCGGGCCGCGCACAGAGAGACTGCGCCGCAGACCACCCGTCCCCGGCGCGGGACGGTCGGCCGGCCCGTCCGCCGCCGGCGTGCCGCGTCAAAAGATGGACTTTCGGCGCCGGCCGCTGTTGGGCACAGACAGTTTGGAGGAGCGGCTCGGCGGCATGCGGCCCGTGCTGCAGTACCTCTGCAGCATCTGTTCGTCGAGGTCGACGGGCGGGTGGCAGCCGCGCGGTGTGGCTGATTCGGCCCGCAGCGCCTCCCAGATGTCCACCTGCGGAGGGAGGGAGGGGGTCAGAGGTCCGCCTGGGGAAGGGGAGGTCAAACGTTTGACGTAAATTAAGAAGACGTGAACTAATTAAGACCTTGCCACCTTCACGTGCCATTTTAGGCAAAATACTGACCAGAGTTAAGTGCTCAGACTTCTTATTTATTGTGGTTTTAGCGAGCGCCAACTGCTCGTCGCTTCGCGTTCAGGAGTGTTTCGCCGGTTACCTGTTCGTTCTCTGTGCCGGAGTCGAGCAGGCTCTGCTGGATGGCCATCTGTAGCAGTTCGTCTTCCTCGTCCGGCCCACCGTAGTGCCGCAGCACCCCGGAGCCTGACCCGACACACACGCACAATGTGAGAACGTTATCGGTTGGACACAGGACGTATGGACAGATGTCAAGGCACGGTTTGGTCTGTGGCAAAATTATTTACGAGTAAATGAAAGTTCACCAAATTCCCTCCCGCTCAAGGCGCCACTCACACCATTTATCACACTGGCTTCTTAAAACATCTCTTCTCTCTGGTCTCCCAGCAACCCTCTCATCCTCCCTTACGCCCTCCTCGCCATATCTTTCCTCCCCCTCTTACCGACACTCCGGTACCCTTGCGGCGGCTCGAACACGGCGTCATCGACCACACAGGTGAGCCGGTCCTCTTCCTGCAGTACAGAGACGTTCGGCACCGGCTCGTCCACGCCGAATATGTTGCCGAACGTCACGCGGGCCGTCAAAACGTGGAACAGCGGGATCTCTGCAAAAGGAGAAGGCCGCGCCGTCAGCTGGTGGTAAAGTATTCTTTCTCTGAAGCAGAACTGCGACATAGGTACTAGTAAGGACGCATAAGCGAGGACCTCCTCTCTACAGAGGGCCTCCTTTCTACATGCTCTCCCTAACTATGTATGTAGTGTACCTATAGTCAGGTAATCTAGCATTTGTTCGTAATGGCGTTGCCTTACCAATTTTCACTGGGAAGCCGGCGGGGAGCTGCATCTGGATGAACTCCTTCAGCTTGGCGAAGTGTGTCGACTGTATGGACATGAGGTCCACGATGGGCATCACCTGCTCCTGCAGGCTCAGCGGGTACTCTTCGCACAGCCACAGCGTCGCCTGCAAAAAAAAAAATATACAGAACCATCGCAAAACTTCAGGGCCATGAACAAAAAGAAAAAACGTATTTAAAAACAGACATAACGTTCAATTTTTGCTCTCAGCTAGTTGGAAGCCAACTAAGACTTATCGAAACTTGACACGCATTGTACATGTCGTGCGATGCTGCCGTAACTATGCTGCAATGAACTCACATCTGACCTGAACACAACTCGCGAAAACCAAATGCCAATGGCACCCGTCCTCAATGATCTACTCCCCCTCATAAATCCATCGACACGTCCAGCTAGCGACTGACCTTGAGTTTCTGCGTTTTGACCGATGTGGAGCGGGGTCGGCCGATGTCGCGGTCACCGAGGTCAAAGGTCGGGTCAAAGTACTCCTCTGCGCTGATGTGGCACGGGTTCGTACTCTGCTCAGACAACTCCGTCTGTGCGAGGGGAGGGAAGGGGTAACCGTCAGCGGGGTTGATGGATCAACGATTATGGCCAAAAGTCAATAAACCGGTAATTTAAGAATGTAACTGCAGCTACAACAGTCACGAAAGTGAGAAATTGCTGCTATGGTATAGGAAGAAAAAAAACAAGGAAGATTAAGTACGTCTCTGAGCTCAGACATTCCAATATTCAGTCAAGCACATTCCTTTATGTTTCTTGTGATGAGTTCGTAGAGATGGCTCAATTCATGCTCACGGGCGCGCAGCCATCCACCATTCCAGGCCGAGCATAATGACAACTGGCCAGCCGTTACGGTCACGCTCGCTGCACCCGTGCCTAACAATTGTGGCTCATAGCCGGGCCAAAGTTCAACGCCTGGGGTTAAATGGCCGTGCTGAGTGGACTCGTGGCCCAGACTGTCAAAGTACCCCGGCCAGGCTATTTGTAAATGACACTGCAACGTTATCACGGAACGGCATGCAAAATCGCAGCCGTCGCTGGGCAGTGGCACCCAAACTTAACCACACAAAACCCAGGTCAACTAAAGCGAGTGTGAACCATCTGTTTGCAAACTTTAACCTAAATCTGCACGAGCTTGAAAAGCATATATCACGGGACATAGATCATCACATCACCAGACGACCTGACAACTCTACTCTCCAGGCAGACCGATCTCCTAAATCCTAATCTCCTGTCGCTCATTCCCTCTTTTGTATCTCAGACCCAAAACTACTTTATCAATAACTGAAACCCAACCCTCTGCTGTGATTATTTCACCGTCCGGCGCAGACTCACGGTGGTCGCCTCGGGCGAGGGGGTGCGTCGCGCCTCCTCCACCTCTGCCACTCCCAGGATCGAGTGCAGCGGGTTCTTGACGAAGCTGCGCGTCTGCTCCCGGTCCTGGTGGTACAGTCAGGGACGGACGGGTTAGTGTGGTGCGGCCGCCTTTGCACCCATGAATGATGGGAGGGGCAATACATTAATATTTGACAACAAATCTACACTATTTCCAATGTGTTCAGTTAAGAGCAAAAAAGCTTAAAGTAAACTATTTCAAACAGGGAAAAAGGTGAGCGACTCAATGTAAGAGGACGCGTTGCGCAGTTCGTCCCGTACCTGTTCGGAGAGGTGTTCGGTGCGCGTTTTGGTGATGAGCTCGACGTTCGAGGCGGAGAACACCTTACACTCTCGGCCGCTGACCTCTTCGGTCCGGTCCGACCGCCAGCCCCAGATGCCCGACTTGTTCCTGAGATACAACATAGCAGGATACGTAAACATCGATAGCATATCCCACAGGCTTCACATCATAAATATGTGTCGTAATGAGACAGCACCCTGCCCCATATATTTGACATTACAGGTGCAATCCGCAGTGTGGACATATAGAAGTTGAGCGCACTTATACCAAACTAATTCCGGGTGTTTTATCTTCCTAGCCCGGTTACTTATCACTCCCTTACCCTTAATTCTCCCCTCTAGCCCTCCCACCCTCCAGTAACAGTAACCTCCTGCCCCACAGCTCCCACGGACCCTTTCCCTCTCCATCCCACTCATCCCGTGCCGTACCGCTCGAAGTTGATTTTGGCCGTGTCGATGTAGGTGGTGACGATGGGTGTGGTCAGCCGGTGCTCGATGGCGGCGGCGTCCGGTCCCACCGCCCCGGCCAGCACCTCGCCGCTGGCCAGCTGAACCTCCTCAGAGAACACGACGCGCTCCTCGTGGTCCACTTCCGTCACCACCACACGGTCGCCTGACGGGGAGGGTAGCCAGTGTTACGGGAGGAACAACTGAGCCACGAAGACTAGTCTGGTCGGTCAGTAGTCTCACAATGCATTACGTGAAATCTTCACACAAAAAAGCTTCCAAATATCGACTCCACCCAGTCACCGTCGTTCAAAGTAACCACGCCATTTTTTATGTCTGGCAGTTTGAAAAGAACAAAGAGGCTAGCCCTACCCATGTTTTCGATACCTGTCTCCCTTGGATAGGCTGAAAGATTGAACGCTAAAATCAAAATCACAACAATAGCTCTAAGTAGCTACTTTGTCATAAAAGTATATTTTTGCGACTCGGGTGATCAATCAATATTTTTGGCGACTCGGGTGATCATCGCTAACAGAATCACTGAGCAATTTAAGGATTGGCAGTAATTAAGGTGGCTGCTAGCAGGGAACCTATGCAACGGACGTGGCCAATGCTCACCTCTTGTCCCTTCTGACTGGTAGGCTGTTAGGTGGAACACAACGCTACTACCGTGAAGAGTGATTCTCTCTGTGTAGTGTCCCTTCAGCAGAACTGCTGGGCTATTCAACAACTCAGTACCAGGTACCAGTGCAGCTTACTGCTCGGTCAGATTCTTTGCGAGCCAGAAGGCGCTACACTGGAGCCGAAACCAGTCATGTCACGTACTGTTACTGGGCCACTACCCCGGAGAAAGTAGGGGGAGCTAGCTACACGTGGTGCTGGAGATCTGGATTCCGAGTAGCTGCATCTGCGGGCTGACTAGCTGGTGCACTCGCTACCACTTCAACTGCCTACCTTCGGGCTTCTCGAGCAGTGAGTAGATCATGGTTCTGTTACCCCGTACGGGTTCAAACGCTCCTGATCGACCGAACACAGCGTGATTCACCATATCAGAGGTACAGAACCGACACAGTCGGGGTAAAACATGCCTGGGCATACCTTATCGTGCACGAGTCATTGTGTGTCATTGATCGCTACGCAGTTGAAAGCAAGCACATTACTTGAGCATTGCTCAACTCGGACTAAGTTTGTGAGTCAATGGAGGCGTAAAAGCTCGCATGATTACAATCAACACAGGATATTAACACTGCGATAAGATACTTATAATCCCATTGCATCGACAACTGTATCGTATTATACCGCATCCTATCGCAAATTCATCGCCCGCGTGACTCACTCTGTCCTTTGAAGATGTAGCTCTTGTTGCCTCGCTGCCAGCTGGTATCGTCAAAGCCGAGCAGGGTGGTGTCAATGCGAACTCGCGAGCCCCGCTTGTACACCTTGTAGGTGTCGTGCGGGCACATTCGGGACACGAGGGGCACTGCAGGGAGGGGAGACGGCGGGAGGAGGGGGGGGGGGGGTGACGCGTCAGTTGTAGGTAATACAGTACAGAGCTCGTATAATATTCAGTGCTGGGTTCCGAGACCTCGTAATCCTAAAATAGTCCAGGACCTGAATACAAGGTCAGCAAATGGTCCCAAGTGTACGGTTACATGCACGGCGGACGGGAATTTCCAGCAATAGTAGTTGTGTTACATTTATAAATATACAAAAGGCGGACAGTACGCCACCTAAAAACTAGGCTATAGGTGAATGCATATATGATATGATTACTACGCCGATATGGGCTGATATATGATCCGCCTCCATTCAATAGCTTATGTACGTATCCTGTTCCTCACACAACCCTTCAGAGACTATTATAGAGCCCTCACTTACCCCAACTGGCAAACTCCCACTTCATCTCCACATAGAAGTCGGGTGCCTGTAGATAAATGGAAACAATCGGAGCCGAGTTAAAAACGCTTCATCGCGGCGAACTAAAAAAAAAGACGGTAAAAACTAAGAGCTTCATAAAAAAGTGTTAAAATCATGTAAACAAAGAAGGCCGCAGTACTTGCGAGCGTTAGCCTGAAACCAACTGCAAGAGTGAACAAGCCAAATGAAAACGCCACTGATTCGGTACGATCGCATATCGCGCCAGCATCCTGGTCAAAGCGGATCCAAGCCAACAGCTCCCCCCCCCCCCCGCCTCCGTCTCTCCTCCCCTCCACTTTGTCCCCTCCCTCTCCCGACCCGGATCCCCCCGGTCGACTCCAGAGACGTTCGAAAGGTCAGGGGTGCAGCGGCACGAGCCAGCGGGGAGGGAGAGGGACGGCAGGGAGTGAAGCCATGTCCGGCATCGATTGAGGCGCAGAGCCCCGCCGCTCACACGCGGCGCTATCTCACCGGCCGCACCGGCGCTCTGAGTAGCACCGGGGTGTGATTAGCGTAACAGTCCCAGTGAGGCACCCGGAATTATGTCCGGGTTTGGTCGAACAGCGGACCTGAACGGCTTGGCTGGTTACTGTCTAGTCTAGCGCCAATGCCCAGCGAGGTTCGACTAGATTCGGTTTTGTTCGGTGCTTGGTTCACACGTACTCGTACAGTTTCAGAATACTCAATACACCACGTCAAATCCAGAATGGCCTAGAGCCATAGATAATCAGCGAAACCAACCCAGTTAGCTCGTAGCTCTAATTCAGAATTATCTGGTCTAACCTCGAATACTCTGAATTTGTCGTACGCGTTTGTTCGCAGATACGTGCTTTGCATACTTAGCATGATCCAAAGTCTCAACGTTACATTCAAGGTGGATCGGGTAATCAAGCCAGAATAACGTTATTGATCATCCTCTTATAGTTCGCACCCTTAGAGTCCTACAAACTCCCACTGATAAGAGACTAGAGTCTAGACTGGAGCTGCCAGCGAGCCCGCAACTGTCTGGTGCGGCGCCCGGAGCCGTCGGGAAGGGCGCGGCTGAGGAGGGAGGGGGAGGCGGGGACGCACATGTACGGCCTCGGGAAGCCGGGCCGGTCGAATTGGCCGCTCCCACGAGGGCGGCACACACGTATCGTCCGACTCCTGACAGTAGAGGTAGGCGAGACGCCAGCGGACGCCCACGTCACAGCAAAACAATACCACTGGGTGGTCGGACACTGGACGGGCTCGGATCCCGACCAGCGGATCTGCTACCCTGCAACCTCTGCGGTACTCGCCCCACTGACCTCCTTGAGCCACCCACTGACCTTTGCTGACCTTTGTGGGTGGTCCCGGTCAGCCGCTGACCTCTGTGACTGACCCACTGACCTCCTTGACCCTCCCTGCTAACCTCTGTAACCCACCCCACTGGCCCCTGTGACCCGTGCACTGACCTCTGTGAGCCCTCATCCCCTCCTCCTCAGGGGTCAGGGGTGCAGCGCTCGAACGGCGTGACCCGTCTCTGTGACCCACCCACTGACCTCCGTGAGCCGCTGCAGCAGCGCCGGCAGCGCCGTGGCCCGGCTACTATACCGCTGCACGTCCCGCTCTCGGAGCACCATCTGCGCCAGCTCCGGGTCACCCGTGGAGATCGCCTCTTGGGACACTGCCGCAACCGCAGACATGACGAGCGTTACAGAACGGGTGTATAATATAGAATGTCATAGGTACATGCCAGAGCCCTGTTTCACGGCACGCCGTTACAGTGCACTGCAGCATTGGTGCGGCGTTTGAGATGAATTCGCCTCGATGCTTCAGCGTTGCGACTTGCGAGCGTCCGAGTTTGTTGATGTTTCCATGGAAACCCAAAACACCGATACGCGTAGCGCGCTGTGTAGTGTCGTGCCGTGAAATAGGGCCCTGGTGTGTTGGTCAGGAATGCTCAGAACGCAGTCTGTAGCTTGAATCACATGCGGTGCAAAAAGGTTTCTTGAATCTATTATATGAGAACATATTTTAAATAAGAAAAAATAAGTCCGAACTAGCATCGTCAAACAATATAAAGCGATCTCCCTTATCACAATCGTGTAAATGCCATGTTGATGAGGATGTGAAGCTTCAAATTTCAATAGTATACATCCGACTCCCGGCCTTCCGCGGCCGGCGGCGTACCGTTCCATCCTGCGGCGTTGTCGGCGTTGACGTTACAGTTGTGGCGCAGCAGAACTCGCGCCGCGGCCGTCCGTCCCAGGGTGACGGCCAGCATGAGGGGCGTGCGGCCGCGCGGGTCCCTCCGCTCCCGGTCGGCCTGCAGGGGGAGCGTGGACGTGAACATGGTGACCGAGGCGCATCGTGACGGGAGCGGAATATCGGCGATGTCCGCTTCAATAGTTTCAATTCCAATAGTTAGGAAGGGTTGACCATTTAGACTTGGCCAGCTTAAGTTTTTGATTGCAGCTTTCTGCTTCTTTCTATACCAGTTTTTTAACTTTTTCGATTATCAAAGGTGTCGATTTACAATGAACCCTCCCTCATAAGGTTGGCTGGTATACCCACCCAGAAGCAGGGTAACACAAAACCACACCTTGATTGAATTGATAGAATAGTTGGATGTCACGGAGGAAAACAAATCAGAGAATACTTACATCGATTTTCTGCAATTCTTCCTCAAGTTTAGCATGTTCATCATTCCAGACCAGCCAGTGCAGAGGAAACCTCTCATATATGTCATTAACTGCTTCCATTATCAGCAGCTGAAACATACAATAAATGGTAGCTGTAAGCCCTGAATGCTGATGAATTGCTACTCAGTACATTACACAGGACAACAGCAAAAGCATTACACAATATATAAGTGTATGCTAGCTAAAATTACTGAGTGGTGCAAGTTGAGTGAAAAAGCAGTTTTGCTTCAAAACAGATGTTTTATTTGTACAATTGCTTTCTTTGTTCTAAATATATTGCAGAAACTAAAGTAACATCAAACCTAAGAGCATCGATCTACTAAATGACACAAGAATCACTCACTAAGTCACTAGAGGCTACCAACACATTGTGTCACCTGCAGATGTCATCAGGTATCATTATATGCATTATTTCATGCAAATAGGAACATTATCAAAAGCTGATCAACAGCATCAATGTGTCGATCAATAGAGAGAGAGCTGACTCTAAAGACTACTACCTAACTGTTTTAAATTCAACACAAGCTTTATACTAGCATCTACAAACCATTAAAATGCTGAAAAATAAAAGAATCATGTGTGTGCTTTCTCTTCCTGCCAGTCATTGCCCATGAGACTGGATAACATCAGTGTAGTTGCAAACAAACTTGTTAGCATATGTGTGAGCAAAAAGTAAAAACACCTCATGTGCTAGCCACAGATAGTAGGCACCTAGGTACTTCATACATGACACTAACATTGTTCCAAGAATCAACAGGTGCCTTGATATTACTTTTTAGGAAATAAGCTAACTTCAGTTTCCTAACACTATAACAGGGTACTATATAGTGTTCTACCCTTGCATTGTAAAGAAATAGGACCAAAACACAAGTTTTATAATTACATAAGAAAATATTCATCAGTGATATTCATATAAATTTCACTGTAGGTTGTACATTGGTAGGTTGTTGGTTAGTAGGTAAGGTACCTAAGGTATGGTCAGGTTAGATGTTTTGTTCCTGAAGGACTACCTACTTCATAAGGGACTTTGGTAAGCACACTGCACAGGTCTGTAAATAGCTCAAGAACTGGTGAGCCTAATGACTTTTAGAAAATGGGGCACAGCACCTGAGAATATTCTTACATGCACCCGAGATGAATACCTGTAAGAATACCACATTTTACCAGTCATGTGAAAAAATAACTGGTAATGTGAGAAATAATATCATCCTGATCCCACCAGCAATATTATTTCTGTTTAGCTACACTGATCTCAGGTAAATGATGTCAATTGTAACATGTGAATGGGCGCATGCTGTGTACATAATTAATATAAAGCAATAACCTTAAATAGGTAAGCTCAGTCCTCCGATGAGAAGTTTTGCCGAGAAACCACTCATCAGCTAAAAACAGTCAAACTAAAAACTTGTCAGAAAACTCATTTTAAAAGATAGGAAAAACAAGCAAAAAAATAAATTACTATTAGCCTGTTGGAACAAAAGTGAAATGATAAAAAGGTTATTGGCCTGTGTCCATTCTTTCCCTCTCTAACAAGATTATAATGAGCTCAAAATAAATAATTGCACCTACCTCCCATCCGATTTGCTACAAAATAGGACGAATATACCGAATAAGAGTACGGAATATTAGCAAAATAATTATTAAAAAACAGCTAGGTACACAGAAACACCACGCCAATTCACCACACCCTCACCTCGGCTCTCTCTATCGCCTGGATAAAAATAGGCCCCGCCCATCCCAATCAGCTGCTGTATGACGAGTTGATGACGACAACCACTACTTACCAGCAACCAATCTAGGGATAGCGTACGTGACAGTAATGGTGCAGCGGTTGCAAAAAATCACATTGTTATTCAAACGGTTTTTGCTTTTAGGGCCTTGTTGTTTAACCCATCTCTGTTTGATTGTATTGAGATATGTGATTTTAGTAGATGAGGTGTTGATAAAGGCAGGTATTTTTTAAAATATTTTTTTGACAACTTTTTGCCCTTGTTCTACGGGCAAAAACCCGGGGAACCCGGGGCCACCTGAAGTCTAAACCTTATTTATATAACATGTCGATGCTGATGCTGTCTTGAAATGTGAAATTTAGACAATGGTAATAGGAATAATGAATAGCAATTTCACCAACAACTTGTTAATCTCTAGTAAGTGCAATTAAAATTAAAATCACTGTCTGCCACACTGCTTCGATCCTGGTCATGCAACCAACGTTCATGGGTGGTGTTTCATGGCAGAGCACTGCAGTGCGCTGCGTGTGTCAGACCATTGGGTTTCCATGGCAGTGTCGACAAACTTCACTGTGACGCTAAGCTATGACAGCATCCCAGAACGTTAGCACGCTGCGGTACCAGCACCAGCAGCATGCTAGCAGTATTTGAACTCAAACCTCTGTTTTTGGTACGGTTTTTCAGAACCTCTCACTCTGTTCCAAACACGATTCATCATAAACTAAGAGATCACATGCAACGTCATTGGAGTGATGCTATGGTATGCCGTAGCTACCAGTGCACACAGTGTCTGGATGGTGAAACAGGGCCATTATTAATCACATTTGTTTGCTTTGTTTCAGCAGAAACCTGTCTGCACATGGGAGGAGTGCAACAAAAGCCCATCAAGTTCATGCATGGCAGTGGATCTCAACAGGAGAAAACCAGAAAGAACATGGATGCTTGTAGATTGCAGTTGTACACTGCTGTTATCACCTGATGTGCGTGGCTGGCATTGCTCCTGGCAAGAACCACCTGCAAGTGATGAGATGGTGCCTCAGTCGTTGAGTGTGCTGCAGTGTGAGAGGCGCCCTGATCTCTACTTTGTGATGGGTTTCCATTGGAGGTTCAACTGAGAAGTGAGAACTGACTGTGACCATGCTTGAGCATGCCAGTGGAGCTTTACATGCTTAGGGCAGCTTTTGAACAGATGCTGATCATGGCATGTCCCATCCAGTTATCACGTGCACAGAATGGTGGGGGGAGGGCAACTCTGGGCTCTTGAGTCAGCCCTACTGCACAGGGGGTACAGATGGCCGCTTACTTTGGTGTGTCCTGCACTGCATTATCAAGCCCAGTCTGCTGCCACAGGCAATGGGTCGGGCTGCACTATATTAAAGGCAGACTATCTTGCAAAGGAGGCTGGCATCCTCTCCCATAATGACACACCAATTGGCAATCATCGCTGCGATGATCACGAGGGTGTCCGCTTATCTAACATGGTGAGGTGGAGAGCCAGCTCAACCTGGCCTGAGGGATGGTTTTACTTCAGCTGAGGCCCCCTTTCCCCGCCTGCCAGGTCCGGTCAAACGACCGCTTCACAGTGAACGACTTGCAGATGTGGATGCCGTCCCACAGCGCAACGAGCGCGCCGACCAGAGGCGGCGGCCAAGAGGCGGCCGCGCTCTCCCAGTCGACGGTCCCGGTGGACGTCGGCAACGCCCACCACGCGACCATCAGATCGGCTCGCGACCGCGCCGTCGCCGACTGACCGCATGACTGGTATCTGTTCTTGATGTGGGACCGACTGCCACCGCCGGTCGCGGAAGGGCATCGCTCATCGGCCATCGACGTCCACCAGCTTCGCGTGGGTCACTGTTCGGGCTGCCACCAATATACCGAATCGGATGGAACCCTGTCGGCGAATGCCGGCGGTGCCCCGACATCGACTGCGCGGCGGCCAGTGCATCGCGTGCCGGGAGGAGGCTGGCACCCCCGATCGGTCATTGGTCACAAACCGTGTCCCAGCTCATGACTGCATCCAGCGCAGCTCTGTGAGATGTTCTGCTGCAGTCTGCCGCGTGTGTTGAAAGAAGAATGAACATGAGAAAACCTCAAAACTTTATGCCTATTAGTATTTGACCAGTGTTAGAATAAGTTTGGATTTTGAGAATTTGTGTCCCTGTGCTTGTGCCTGTGTGGAAAGGCATGCTTTACGGTGTACCATCTCAATTTGTGCGGCTGCTGACAGGCCACCTGGGTGCCAACGTATGTGCGAATCCGCGAATACGTTGTATTTCGTCAGTCGGTATCGTTCTGAAAATATTGACTGCAATAGGCTATATAGCGTATGACGGTTCAGCCCAGCAGTAATAACTGACCATTGATTGGGCGAATTTTGTGTGGTGGTTCGCTAATACATAACCTAAAGAGTGTTTTGCCGGAATCGTTTAGTAGCAGAACTGACCGGAATATAAGTAGAATGCAACGGTTTGAATCGTTAATTTGTTGAAACGATTGTTCTCTGAGACCACTGTGTAACTTTTGACCTGAGAATCACCAATTATAACAACGGTGGAAGCAGTAGGCACTGTAGAGTGTAGGCAACACTATATAGTTGGCACACTTACGCAAGCACACGACTTACGCAGTGGACATCTGCGTCATGCATTTTAAGGTTTACTGGGAAGAGTGAGAAATTAGTCAGAATATAACTGACTAAGGAAAATAGGCGATATTTTCAATTGAGCTGGGGCGGAGAGGGGGAGGGGACGTATGGTCAGCTATGCCAATAATTCATTCTCGTTATGCAGCTGTGTAAAAGGGCGTCCGTTTTTTGGGGTGAGACCTTCCCCATTGGCCATTTCCAAGCTAAATCGTGGTGGAGAGTCTGGAGACCTCAGCCTCGGTAGTCGGTACCCTGCGCGCTGCGCCACCTTGCGAAACATAAAGCAGCAGTCCTGACATCTGCAGGCGCTACTTTTCATGAAAACGCGGATGTGTTCGCGCTTATGCGAAGAAAATTCTTCCGAGTATGGTTGATAATGAGATTAATTGTTGTCATTTATTTATCAATTCATTAGCAAAAGTACCCTAATAAATCGGTAAAGTAGCTTAAACTGTATCGTATTTCCTTGGGAAAAAATGACGAACTCATCCTAAGACATCCAGATTATTGGATGCGTTCGTCAGTTGTAAGTAGTTCAAGTTTTTGGAAAAATTTGCTTGTGGAAAATCATAATATTTCAAAGATATGCCTATTTTCGAATGATTTATGCATTTATCTGCATTGAAAACTGATTGTAAAGCAAAAGTGCAAAAGATTATTGTCAATTTATTTTCTCAAATCACGATTTACGA